GGTATGATATGGCTCCACATATAATTTATATGAGGTGATGAGAGCATTCCCATCTGCTTTACAGTAGCATTGATCATTGTAAATTAATCAAAGCATCATTCTGTATTAGAGATCAGTCTGTGAGCTCAGTAACATATACCAGTCTATAGATATACTCAGGATGAAACCTACTGAAACCCATGCTTTAAGGTTAAGAACCAGAACTTGGTTCATGGTGACTTCACTGAAGTAAACGTCACTTACTGAGGAGTTCATAGTGAGGAAAAGAAGGTAAAAGAAGACAACAATAAAAATGCCATTTATGGAAACTTCAAGTTACTCCGCATCTTTCTTTGGAAAGACAGCAGACACCATGAAAATTTCATACCCCGCAGAGCATTCTCCTCTGCCTCCTCCTTATTAACACACGTGCAACTCATACAAAAAACCAGCTCCTCCATGGAGCCCGGGTAAACAACTCTGATCACCCCAGTAAACAGTTCACTATTTGTGACATTCCTTAAGCACTTCTGTAGTGGGACAGAACTGATTTTATGTTATTTATCATCTTTGTATATACTGTATCCCCCAAATTGAATACATACTGCTTAGAGGTAGAAAACTATAATTTCACATGTTATTTGCTTTTTCTATCTGGGATCCTGTTGCAATGAATTGAACAAAATAGCCCTGTCATTTTATCTTCCTTACAATATAAAGATACTTGGCTGTTTTAAAATAGACAACAATAGGAGGTGACAAAATAACAGAAATATTAAATAGAAGCTCTTTGAGGTTTTTTTTTAATAACTCTTTTTTAAAAAGAGCTAATATTTCAGTTTATTTTTTCTCCTTGTAAGAGTTCTTCATTTCTATCATGCATTATTTAATTAAATATGACTAAGTTGACTCTCCTTTGATTAGAGGGAAAACTGATCTAGTTAATATGCTAAAAAATGTATTTCATGGCATATTTGTTTCTAATTAAAAGTGAAAAGAAAACACAGGAAACCAAAAGGTCCCTACAACTTCCTCAGGAAATCAAAGGTAGATGTAATGAACTGAATTTTAAACAGAGCATTTTTTTTCCCACATGGTCAGCAGGACAGTTTCTTATATTCTACCCCACTTTTACATAGCAGATACACAATTTTAGAAAACTTTTATTAACTTCTTCTGGATTTCTGCTTTTAGAGTTCTAGAGACCATGGCATCTCTGTCACGTAAAGTTGAATATTAATTTTATTATTTGTAGAATTAACAATAAATATATTCATGGGACACTGAGCAAGATTAAAGGTTTAAACTGTTTAATTATTCCACAACACAGAGTATTTACTATGTGCCAGACACTGTCCTACTTGCCTGATAGGTAGATTTTAGCTCTTTTAATCTTTGCAATACCTCTACACAGTAGGTATTCTTGTTATTATCATCCACATTTTGTAGTATTATCATCTACATTTTATAGATGAAGAAACTGATGCAAGGAAAAAACAAGCAGCTTGTCCAAAGGGATAACACTCGTAAACGCTGCAGTCAGAACCTGAACATGGATGAGCTGGCTGCAAGCCACACTGAGACGCCGCCTCCAGAACAGGCAAGCACCGTCTGTCCACGCGCTCGCACACACGCAGCCACTCCACAGCTCATCGGGACCAAGTGAACAGCTGCTCCTGGATGTCCCCAAGTCAGACACCGTGTTCAACTACCTTGGGAACCACCAACACTGCCTAAATAAGCCTGATTCACGGGGCTGATAATCTAATGGGAAGACAACCAGGCAAATAACTTCAAAAAAACCAATGAAAAATAATAAATGCGGAGATGAGCAAGAGCTTATGGGAATTTAAGAACTAAAAGATCCAGGATAATAAGGGACAAAATCAAGAGCAAGAGGAACGCTGAGGGATCAGTGGGAACTTTTATGCCAGAGACAAAATCTTCAAGTTGGTTGGAACCACATGTCTGAACCTCAGCATCAAGAAAAGCTTAGTATGAGGAACCTGGAAACTGCTACCTGACTTGCTTTTTGGAAAAATGACTGTTACCTGGAGTCTAATCACAGTAGTGAATCTTTTCCTTAATTTTTTGAGCCTCATGCTGAAAGTTTCCAGATCATATACTACTAACCCAGAGGGTAAAGATTCAGTCTGGTATTGGTCTCATTTAGTAGCATTTACTTAGAATCATTCACTCAATAATGCCACTCCTCTTTTTCTACATACTTCTACTATCTCCTGTCAATAGACTAAGAAAGCAAAAGCAGAACTCAACTCTTAAAACATTCAGTAACCTCACATAAAAATCTACCAACTATAGGACTTCCCCAAATCTACCAACTACAGAACTTCCCAGCCAGTTTACCCTGACACATGATGTGTTACTGATTCCCCTCGAGACTTTGATAGGCAGAACCTCCTGGCAGCTGGGCTTGGGTCTTGAGCAGAGAGGCCAGCCTTGCCATGACTTCAAACAAATTGAGAAGCACAGAAATGAGGCGTTAGGCACATTATACCTCAAGATTTTTGTCTACTGCCTGTTTTTTAGGTATGCATGCTAAATTTGCCTTTAGGATTTTCCTAAATTCCTTTGAATGATAACTTTTTCCCAATTTTAACTCCATCTGAATATTGTGTTCTTATTGACTTTTTCTTATTTCCCTTTTGGGGAAAATGTCACAATAATACTCCTTAAGTTAAAAGTTGGTTTATAAAAATCATAATAAGTTTGGCTGTTTTTAGAACTAACCATTCAATAGTTCTGTTTTATGAAACAATAATACATTCAGGTTTAAAGGCATTAGTTAGGTCAAATGAAAGCATCGTCACATGCCCTCAACATGTAGATGAATAACAGGAATACTTCTGAATGAGAACCCAGTTATGCAAAAATGCAGACTAGTGTTAGAGTATAAAAAAGATAAAAGGATTCGACCTTTTAAAATGCTACATCATTCATTCGTCCATTCATTCAATAAAATACCATGGAACTATAAGGTGAAAACCCATAGAGAATACAAAGATCGTTTCTCCAATGGTCTAATAAAAGAACCATAATTCTGATTACTACAGAAATATGTCTGCATTAGAGAAGAAGCTTTAAGTTTGGCTCTCATCCCAAAAGTAAAAATCTTAAAGACAAATTAAGAAGCTTTTTCAAGTAAGCAAAGATAGGAGGAGACAAAGGTAAAGGATCTGGGGAGGCAGGGAGCACGTTCCATCAGCTTTTCAAGACCCCCGTTGGATTTAGCGGTGACTCGCCCGCACAGCAGCTGCGCAGAAACCCCAACCCCCTGATGTCTATGGCTGCGAATAAAGGGAAGCACAGATGCCTCAGATGCATAGTTCTCTGTGGCTTGAGGTGCTGGCAAAACAAACTCCTCTCTTGAAAAACGTGAGCAATCGTTCCATTTGTCACTGGCCTTTTGACTAGCAAACAACTTTATAACTCACCAGAATTTTCAGTTTTCAAAAAGAAATACCACAAGTAATTCATCTGATAGATTTTCTTAAAATCTTAAGATAGTTTATGTTGAAGGTTACCAACTGTTTGCATTAGGCTATTAATATATGAGCTGTAACTTCAAGAAGTCCTCATTTCTTTCTTTCAGAGCTCTGCAATCCCTTTCTGCTTTCTACTATTCACAAATATTTAATTAGTACACTCTTGGATGTTAGGCTAATTCAGAGGAGAATGAATGTTTTCTTTTTTTAAGTCCTCATTTGTGAATGGATATAGGAGCATTACACATAAGCTAGATCTCTGGAATACAGAATTTCAGGGTTAAAAGTAGTAATAGTATCACCTCTAGTAGTGCTTAAAAATACTCAGAATACTTTTTATCTAAGAAGTGGGAAAAAGGCTTTAATATTTCTAAAGTTAAAAGAAAAATGTCTATCTAATCAAATGTGCACTGCTCTGTATGTGCCCTAATCACATACAGCTTATGGACAAACAGCACTTCATGAAGAAAAATAAGGGAAACCTAATGTTACAGTTAATCCATCAGTGTCAGAGGGCTCAGATTGTTTACAGTCGTGTATTCCAATGTTTTATGTCTTATTTCATCAGCTAATGTATAAACACAGAATTTAACTACAAAAAGAAAACAACAGTCTGAGTGTAAGCAACCACTTTTAACTCTAAGCTAGGGTTCTGCCTACACTCAAGACATATTGAAGGACCTTTAAAAGGTTACTAAAGAAACCATCTGCCTCCTGATGCTCATGTCCTGATCATCTTACCAAGAGACTCCTGATAAAACTTTTGCAAGTTTTACTTAAGTTATGCAGACTTCAGATATTTAATTCCTATTATTTACCAAGCTCACCTGAGCTTGTGTCTGGATAGAAAATACCTAAAGGAAAATGCCTTTAGCTATTTTGTGAGATAATGCAACTCAGCGATAACATTACCCTCTTTTCTGTATCTTGCTTATACATGTTTACTTTCTGCGCAGTGACACAAAGAAAACCTGAATCCCAGGGCTAAAGGCCTCTCTCCAATTTCAGATCTTCATCATCTTCATCAAGTGTATGCCCCACCTCCTCTAGCAAGTAGTCTCAGACAGCTGCAATCCTGAAGCAACTGTTGCCCTCTCTGAATTGTCAGAACAATTTATTTATGCCATTTTTAAAAGTATCTTTCCTTTTCTTTTATTTTGTAAATGTGTTTTATGTGTGCACTGAATTATAAAGCTATGAGCTTCTCGTGTATACTGTATCTTACATACCTCTGCTTCTTAGAGCAAACTATTTCATTCAATGAATGCCCATCAAATAAATACATATCATACAATATCTACTTGGTAATAACAAGATTATTCAGTTACTAAGGTATATTTTTGGTGGCTAAACAGGGAAAAAAAAGCAATCAAAAAGCACTTATCGAAAACATTGAAGAACATTCTAGAAATATTCAGGTAAAATCTATACCATTTGGAGCTGGAGACAAATATGATGGATCCATATTTGGATCCATCAAATATGGATCCAAATTATAAAATGATTTGTACTTACTTGTCTCCAAAAAACTTTCTCCAGAATTCAGCAGCGTCTGCTTTCGTGATACGAAAGTTATCTCCCTGGAACTGTCCATTGGGAAAGATTGCTTTGATTTCTGCCAACATGTGACTGAAGATAAGGGATAGTTTTGTGAGATTTCGTCTGTAGACACAAAGGGGGAAAAATGAAGAGAAGAGTAAATATATACGCACATAAGCTTCAATGGGAATATATATCATGAAAAATGAAATTATCCAACCTAGGTCAAATCAATAAAGCCCTTAAGAACAATGTTCATAGAAACTATACGTTTAAATTCCTAACAGGGTTTTTATTAATCACCCATGTATTCATTTAATATAAACATGAACTCATAATCAAATATAAATGCTAATCAAAAATGAGTAACTATTTCTACATGGGGTAATAAGGAAAGTTGCGTCACTTACAGAGAATCTAGGAAGATAAGCGGTTGTTCGACAGATAAAAGACTCAGAGTGGAAAGGAGGGGAAAGATAGGAGGGAAGAGAGAATTTTGAATAGTAGGAAGAGTGTACAGAGAAGGACAGAGGTGTGGAACAGAACTATTTGGATACTATCAAGGCTTAGCACAGCTAATGAAGAGCAGAAGGTGAGTGGAGCAGATGGCTTGAGATGGGATGAGAAGGTTTAGATGGGACATGACAAAGAGGCATCTGAACCAATGAACAGAGATTTTATCAAGATACATTTGCCACTTCTATCTAAAAATCAGTTTCTGATGATAAGCCTCAGATATGTACACATTTTAGACGCTCTCTAGGTAATCCCAAGGTAGTCCATAAAAAACTACTGTGATGAGGAATGGGGAGCCAAAGTGGACTAAAAGATTAAGGAAATGATCAAGTCTCTGTTTTTAGCAAGAAAAAGTTATGGTATGGAAAAAATGGTTTAGAGGGAGGAAAATGTAAGTGTTGTCTCTTCTAACTTCCATGTTAAGTTCTGGGGGTTTTGATGTGATTTACAGCATGGTTCAAATCATGATTCAGACTTTAAAATAACAGTATCATCTACATTCCTTCCAAGCTTTTCATAGGTTTACAACATATATTTTGTTAATCAGCCCCAAACTGTTACTGCCAATAGTAAGGAAGCAACTGAAAGATAAAATACAAAAGAACTTCTCAGTTTTCAGCTGACCTTGCCTCTTTATATTCCTGCTTATTCAGAATCATCAGAACACAATAGGCACATACATAATATCTTTCCTTTTGAAGCCTCAGCTGCTTTTGTGTATGTTTTGAGGGGTCAAGGGCAGGTAGGAGGCAAGTAAATACAAAGGACAAATAGAGAAAGCCATCAGATCTGCAATGCATATAATGCCATACAAAGTTTCAGAAGGAGTTTGACATTGAACTTTGTGGCTATTAGCCTCATTTTTACGCATGTACCTGCATTTAATGACTCTCAAATAACAAACAAAAAGACATGCTACATACCAAAGAGATTATATAGTATGCACCTCTCAGTAGTTAATGAAAAGAAGCATGTATCCCATATAAGATGAACACAGAATAAATAAAAGTACTTGTGATGGCAAGTGGGAAAAGCAGGAAAGAAGAAAGCAATAAAGTAACTGACATCTCAAAAAGTTCATCTCTACTGAAAAACCAAGAAGTCCACATCCTTTATTATTTATGAGAAGAATTATGAGAAAGAAATTTACGAGGGTCAGAACTTGGGCCTTATTTTAGTGCTTGATTGGCAACAATAAACAATCTGCAAAATCATTATGCTTGGGTTATGCAAAATGTTTCACCATCTTCTTAGATTCAGCCACACTTCCGTACAACTCAGCCTAATTCAAAGGTAAAACTCCCTTAATTAGTTGAATCTTTGTTCTTCCCATTTATGTCAACACATCCTCATTTAGATGATGGCAGATATAAGAGATTCAGTCTTCGGAAATGAAAAGCGAACTGATGAACTTTATCAAGGGAAAGAATTGTGGCCAATGCAGTCAGTACAAACTGCGACTGTCGTTTGAAATTTGAGTTTAAGGAAAAACATAAAAGTCACTTTTGAAAAGCTGCAACGAATTTATTTCTGTAATTAGGCAAAAGAGTTAATTTTTGACCAAACTTCCAATTGATACATACAGAACAAAAAAGAAAAATCAGGATGGCTGTAATTAGGGTAGACCAACTGTTCCTTATTTTCTGAATTGGTTGCTTTCCATCCATCCCCTTTTTTCTTTGTTCTTTAATCATATCCAAATGTTTTTCATTTTTATTTGTTAGATCTAAAGCCTGAAGCACAATACCAGTGATTATCCATCTTGGATATTTGATCCACTGGCTACGTAGGCACTAAGCTTTAAAACAGAAATAGTAATACTTTATAATTTTCAGTCTAGAAGCCCTAGTTATCACTACTACCTATACAACCAATCACTGTTAAATTATAAACTGTGTGTATAGTTCAATTTTCTTCTTCCTACAAGAAGATTACATTTCTATTTGACTTTTTGTACAAACTAAGGCAATGGAAAAAATCTCTTTTGCCTTTAATTTTTAAAGAAATGGAAATTCAAGTTCTTAAAAACATGCGAATTCAAGTTTTCTGTTACCTTATTTTTCACATACACCAGAAGATATATTTTCTAACTAATTTTTTTAAAAATGCATATCATACACATGGTAAATGATTATTCTGGAAATCCTTTATCTGAAAGATTGATTTACTGAGGTTGCAATCCACACAAAGAAATGAAAATAACTTACAGCTAATTCGGCTGATGTCATTTAAATTTATTGTCACAACAAATAAGTTTGTCTTTTATATGACTGTGTGGGAGTTTGTTTACTATATTTTGCTTTACATTATAAGCTTTAATTCCCCACTCCGCTATGCACTTTTAGATACCAATTTAAAAGTAAATAACTTCCAAGTCTGAAACTGAAATCCAAGAACACAGTCCCCTCCAATCATCTAGACATAGTGGGAATGAATTTTCCATAGTGTAGATGAATTTTCTTTCCTATTAGGATATTTTTTTCCATACCCTGCCAATTTTCCCTAAGCACACCTGACTGCCGCTCATCATATGACCGAAAGTGATGACTACTTAATAAAGGATTTGGAGCATCCTAATTGAAAATATGTATCTTTTTCACTAAACAATTAAGGAAATAATATTTATCTGACTGGACCTGGGCATCCAGTCCCATCATTTTACCACAAATAGATGGGGGAAAATGGCAACAGTGACAGATTCTATTTTCTTGGGCTCCAAAATCACTGTGGATGGTGACTGCAGCCATGAAATTAAAAGACGCTTACTCCTTGGAAGAAAACCTAGACAACATATTTAAAACCAGAGACATTGCTTTGCCAACAAAGGTCCATATAGTCAAAGCTATGGTTTTCCCAGTAGTCACATACAGATGTGAAAGTTGGATCATAAAGAAGGCTGAGCATCGAAGAATTGATGCTTTTGGATTATGGTGTTGGAGAAGACCCTTGAGAGTCTCCTGGACTCCAAGGAGATCAAACCAGTCATTCCTAAAGGAAATCAACCCTGAATATTCATTGGAAGGACTGATGCTGAAGCTGAAACTCCAACACTCTAGTCACCTGATGCGAAGAGCTGACTCAATGGTAAAGACCCTGATTCTGGGAAAGATTGAGGATAGGATGAGAAGGGGGCAACAGACGATGAGATGGTTGCATCATCGACTCAATGGACATGAGTTTGAGCAAACTCTGGAAGATAGTGGAGGACAGGGAAGCCTGGCGTGCTGCAGTTTATGGGGTTGCAAAGAGTTGGACACAAATGAGTGAGTGAACAGCAACAAAAAAGACTCAATAATCTTAAACATAACTTTACAAGAAATTCTGCCACACTCTGACTTTGAATAGAAGAGATACTTTGACTCATTACTACCACATAACCTCCCACTAACCATCACAAGTTAAGTCATCTTTTTCTGCCACCGCCAAAGTGAAGTTGCTCAGTTGTGTCCAACTCTTTGCAACCCTGTGGACTGTAGCCTACAAGGCTCCTCCGTCCATGGGAATTTCCAGGCAAGAATACTGAAGTGGGATGCCATTTCCTTCTCCAGAAGATCTTCCCGACCCAGGGATTAAATTCGGGTCTCCTGCATTGTAGGCAGACGCTTCACCTTCTGAGCCACCAGGGAAATCCATATAGTAGGAATCCCCAAGCCATTTTTAAAATTTGTTCAGTGTGAGATTTTGTTTTTAAGAAATAATGTTAAAATCAAAGTATTCTGATATACCAGGTAACCAAAAAGTAGCTTCTAGATGTCAATACTGCACAAACCAGTAAAGATGTTGATATATTAAAGAAGTCTTGAAGCAGAGGGAGGGAGAGAGGAATAAAGACAAAGGAGAGGGCAGAGATGATAAAGAAAACTATCTACGTTGGCAACCTTTGAAAAGGCTACAAATGAACTTACCCACAAAACAGAAACAGATTACAGATACAAAAAACAAATTTACGGCCACCAGCGGTAAGAAGGGGATAAAACGGAAGATTGTGATAGACACATACATATTACTATATATAAAATAGATAACTAGTAAGGACCTACTTTAGAGCAGAGGGAATTCTGCTCAATATCCTGTAATGGCCTATATGGGAAAAAACTCTAAAAAAGAGTGGATTCATGTATATATACGACTGAAACACTTTGCTGTACACCTAAAATTAACACAACATTGTAAATCAAGTGTACGCCAATAAAACAAGTATAATAAACACATCAGCAATGTCAATAATATCACTCAAGAAGCAGTGCTTCTTCTATCCTGGATTCAACCATGTAAAAGCTTTCTTTAAAATAACATGAATGGATTTCTCAGCCACACTGCTGCGCAGAATGTGAGTGGAGTGACAGAGCATCACTGCTTATGAGCAAGTCTGAGCACCTTGAGTGGCTACAGGCAGCATCAGATACGGAAAGTGCACAAGAGTTGATGCAGGATGACACAATCCTACCCTCACTGAATTTATCACATAGGAGGGTCAAAGGAAATTGCAACCCACTCCAGTATTCTTGCCTGGAAAATACTACGGACAGAGGAGCCTGGTGAGCCACATTCCATGGAGTCACAAAGAGTCAGATGAGGCTGAGCAGCTGAGAGCATGGGGAGAAAAGACAGGACGATATTGACAACACAGGCAGCAGCGCACCAGCCCCTCAGCTCACGGCAGCCGCCACCTTGAGGTGAGGAGTTTGAAAAATGAATAAAAAGTACATCAAGAGACTTGGTCCGTAGCCTCCACTAAACGCAGGAGATACACACACAGAGTGCAATTTAATTACATCGCATGTAGTCCTTGCGTTTTCTCAATTCAAGAAACAGCTGTGACATAAATCAAGGAGGAAATAAAAAGCTGTAGGTGTGGAATGAGTGAAAACACTTCATACCAGGGAGTTCCAAAGTTTCTGAGAATGCACCGCCTCTGGTAGAAGTAGGGGACAACATTTTTATCCAAGAACTATTAACAATTCAATTCTCACATTTAAAAGCTAGGATATGTGCTTTGTAATCTTTACGAGATGAAACAAATTCACCATAAAGAGAAAAGCAAGACATAAAGAATATAAACAGTGGCCCTAGAAATGAGACTCACACCCAGTTAAAGAATGATTTCCATTCACTCTACTTCTGAGGTAGTGCCTTCCAAGATGGGTTTAGGAACCTACTTCACACTGTATTTCACCTTGGGAACATTTTGATTCCTAAGAAAGTAAGGATACTAGGCTGATGTAAGCCTCACCTTTCATTTCCTCATCCTGGGAACAGAGACTATTATTATTAAGAGATTATTATTATTAAGACTATTATTATTATTATTAAGACTATTATTAAGACTGAAATAAAACTGCATCTCACCCACTCCCCAGACTAAATGTTTTAAACTTTTCAACACAACTAAGAAGAGTAAGAAGTAAATCTTTTTTAATTGAAGTATAGTTGAGTTACAATGTTGTGTGTAGAGCAAAGTGATTCATTTATATATATTCTTTTCCATAGTCTTATTATGTCCATAGTTTATTACAAGATACTGAGTCTAGTTCCCTGTGCTACATAGTAGCACTGTGTTCATCTATTTTATACGGGGCAGTCTGTCTCTGCTGATTCCAGACTCCTAGTTTATCCCTTTCCAAACCCCCTTTCTCCTCTGATGACCGTAAGTTTGTTTTCTATGTCTGTGAGTCTATTTTTTTGTTTTTTGTTTTTGTACATAAGATTTGTGCCATATTTTAGACTGCACATATAAAGTGAAATCATATGATATTTGTCTTTCTACTTCTCACGTCACTTAATATGACAATTTCTAGGTCCATTCATGTTACTGCAAATGGCAGTTTCATTCTTTTTTCATGACTGAGTAGTATTCCATTATGTCTATACACCAGATCTTTTTCATCCATTCATCTATTGATGAACATTTAGATTGCTTCCATGTCTTGGCTATTTTAAACAGTGCTGCAAGGAACACTGGGGTACATGTATCTTTTTGATTTATGGTTTTCTCTGGATATATGCCCAGGAGGAGAATTGCTGGATCATACGGCAACTCTATTTTTAGTTTAAGGCACCCCCATTGTGTTTTCCATAGTGACTGCACCAATTTACAAGGAATATGAATCAATCTTAAAAGCCCAAGTCCCAGAGTCTACCCCAAGTCATAAGAGAAGTGTGAGCAGAAACTTTCTAACCTGAGCCACAAGCAGTAGGGTAATTTTTCAAGCTGCACCAGGTTACTTCATTGAACTGCTCACTTTAAAAGAATTTAGCAAACTATGTCAGTCCAAAAGCTTCATTAAAATAGGTAACCAAGGTAGGTTTTATCCCTTTCATTAAAAGATAAATCATCCACCACTAACAAGGTTGGGAGACCAAACGTGAAATTGTGGCTGGGAAGGATGAACCCTGGGCATCCTTTGATCTCTGCAGTATAATCTCAAACATGTTGCCTACATAGGTCTAATAAGTGCAAGATGCTATCCCACAAAATAAGGATGATACTTTTGGGCTAAATGAATTTGCTTCACAAAATAAACAGTTTTAAATGGACAATTTACAAATGTCTTACCTAAACACAACTAAAACATGAAATATTCCCATCACATTCAAATGTAATATCCTTTGACAAGTTCCCGGGAGATACCGAGAAGATACTCTGTCTAATTTTTCAGCTATCCTTTGTTAAAAGAAACTGGCCTTGAACCATACATACTGAGTGCATATCCTTACCTGCTGGTAGTTGTGAACGAGTTGCTTAACCTCTCCCTTTGAATCAGTTTCCTTATCTCTAGAAATTGTAAATAAAAATGCCTGTCTCACTAAGCTGTTGTGAGGAGTATTTAAGGTATAAAGGTAAGACCCTAACGCATCTAGTAACTCTCAATAAGTAATCATCATTATTATTATTATTAATTCTATCTACCACCTCTGTTTAATAAAAGTATAAATATCCTAGTCTTTAATTTCCCCATACAATACTATTGTCATTTAAACTGACGGCTATCTTAATGAGGTAAAAATCACCATTCTCATATTAGGATCATCCATTGTCATGGTGGCCTCTTGTAATTTCACAGCAAACAATGAAAGAGTATTTGATTACTCCATTCACTTATTCTGCATATCCTGACTAAGTGTCTACTAGACTATGTCATATACTCTTGATGAATTCATGAAGTATTCACTTACTTTTAATGAACTTAAAGGGCTAAGAGATTGCCAAAGGTACAGAACAATGTAGTGGGAATCAAACTGAGAAAGAACCAGAATAAAGGCAGTAATCAGTGAGAGAGACACAGGAGATTACCACTTTGGGGGTGATGGATGCAGTTCTGACCAGAATATAGCCCAGCAGTGGGTAGGAACAGTACTGTAAAGGTGAACTAGGAAGGAATTAGATAATTCCAAGGGTGAATGGGGTCCTTCATATGGATTTTGAAATTTCCTACAACTACGACAGCAGTTTGCACGGAAAAAAAGAACTACAATAAGCCTTGTCTCAATACATTCAGTAAAGCTTCCCATATAATCTTTTTTAAATGTCAGCTGTTTTAACTTTGCAGCTATGCCAACACAGGATTATCTCTTTGATAATTTCAACAAATAATTTTATATGAAAAATTTATTATGAGAAACCATGACAGTATGATACGATCACTCATACTTTCATCTGGTTTAAAAGCTTAACAATATCTACTTCAAAAAAGAAAAACTTTTGTCTTTCACGCTGGACTCCTTTTGATTAAACCTAAAAGGTAACAAGTACCTTTTTATGAAACTTTTTTTTTTTTTAAAGAAATCTTAAAAATGCAGACCATTCTATTACATGAGAGAGAAAAGGAAAACGTATCTATTCCTGCATTCCTATTTAAGATAAAATACAATGAAATTTCTGTGAACTATGTGGACAGTTATCATGACATTGACTCGAATAGAAGCAACCAGAAGCAATCATAGTAGAACTTCGTTGTGTGTTTTTGTTTTTTGGCTAGGCTCTTTTTCAAAAGAAAAAAAAAAAAAACACTGGAAGTTTAAACTATATTTTTATGTCCTGGGGTAATCTGATAAAAGAACAGTCTTGTCATCACATAAACTTGACCATGAAAACAATTTAATTTTTATTTTATTTTTTTTTCCATTTATTTTTATTAGTTGGAGGCTAATTACTTTACATCATTACAGTAGTTTTTGTTATACATTGAAATGAATTAGCCATGGATTTACAATTTAATTTTTAAATCTATTAATAGATTCATTTTTGTTCTTTTCCCAGATCACCATAAAAAATTATAATGCAGTAACAATCTGAATCATATCAATTAAGTCAGTACTTACTGCTTCTACTGAAAATTCTTGATTATTTTTACTTGCTACATTCCCTATTTCTACTTTTTGTCACATTCACATTTCGGAGGTAGCTTTTACTTTTACTCAGTAGGATAGAGTAATAGAATCCTCTGTCAGGATACAGTTGAAGTCTTTCCTACAATAATACTTTCTTCGGGGATTTCTCCTGTCCGTGGCACCAGGTTACCTCCCACGTTCTTCGCACCGCCTCTCGCCTCCTCCTCGGGCATCTGCATGGCCTCCTGCCCTTTCCGACCCACACTCTGGGTTGAGCCATCTCTTCCTCCTCACCGATGCCAAGCTCCTGCGTCTCAGCTTGGTGACCTCCCATCTGCACCAGCTCTAGGTTAAGGTGGTCCGGCCCCGGTGTCTTTTCCATCCCCCTTTCTGGATGCCATCTATCAGGCCGTTAATGCCGCCACCTGGGCTTCCCTGGAGGTCCCGTGGTTAAGAATCCGTCGGTCAACGCAGAGGGCGCGGGTTCAGTCTCTGAGAAATTCCGCGTGCTGCGGGCAGCTGGGCCCGCGCGGTGACTGCTGAGGGCCGCGCGCCCTGAGGCCGCGCTCCGCAGCCGGGGAGGCCGCTGCGGCGGAGGCCCCGCACCGCCCGGCAACGCAGACCCAGCGCGGCCAGCGCATTAAACCAAACGCCGCCGCGACACACGGCCTGTCATGGCAGAACGTCCTCTCTGAGAAGCACCCCGGCCCTTATATACAGATGCACTGCACCTCGATCAGAGCAAAGGTCTTCATTGGAGAAGAAAGGCTTACTGTACCTATAACAGCTTCTTACGAATAACAGATCCCCAATAAATTTTAACGTTGATGACCACGAAAATGTTTAAAGAATAAGTACCTCAGAATTTCCTGACCTAAACAGTGCTAATGGACAGACTGACAGCAAGAGGACACAGAAACAGTTTACGGAACACTGCAGAGCGGAGCATCAACTTTACCAAAAGCTGCTGGAAGAGGGGTTAAAAAGCTAGTGTTTGACACTATGTGAGGAAAAGAAAAAAAACACCTTTGTGAGTCCCACTATCTTTTCTCTCACCATCTTTTTCTCCTTTGTGAACGACAAAGTGTAACAGCAAGCAACAGGAAACTACTGTGAAGTTCCAGAATCTCAAGGAACCTGATCGCATCTGTCATACTTTCTGAGGAAGCGTAAACACAGCTTCCCGTCACATCGCCTCTGCCCAGACCGCTGCTTCCTCCTTGGCTCTGGAGAGTTCCCTCCGCGACACCTCTGCCCCACTTTCAACCCAGCTCCCCAGAGACGGCGCAAGGGAGACACAAAGGAGGCAGACAGCAGAGACACGGCCACCTCTCTGCTGGTGCTCGTGACTGACAAGAAAACCTCAAACCTGACGTTTATTCATCGTTTCCCCAGGGCTAAAATGACCTTTACTCAAACAGCCGAGGCGAATATAAAAATAAACATTATTCTGCCAAGCAATTCTCATTTACTTCCGGCCTAATCTGGTATGGATACCACATGATAACACAGAGTGTGTGTGGGTGTGTCCACACACGTGAACACGCTCTATAAAAAGTGTGACGTGACAAAGAAAGTAAACAGTATGCCCAGTACTGAGTGCTGTTTAAAAGCTCAGTATCATGATACAGACAAAGAGAAAACAAATACAGAATATGAAGTAAAAGACATAAACAGTAATAATCTCTGGATAGTTTATAAATGGTTTTTCTATTTTTTTCTTTAAATATTTCTATTTTCAAAAATATTACAGGCCATTACACTGACTTTCTCAGGCAAATCTGCAAGGTGCCTGAAGGAGAGAGAGTGACTAGATTTCCAAACCCACTGCAGCAACCCGTCCTCTGACAGGCCCCACTGGCATCCAGGCTGCGGAGCTTCACTTTCAGGCCCAGAGCTCTCTCTGGTACAGTCACCTCCATCCTTTTACTTGAGCACCGACTTTCAATTTTCTAGAAAGTATTAGCCCTTTCACCACAGAATATTCAACACTGGCATAGCAATATAATTTCACATTTTTAGGATATAAGGCAGGGAATACAAAGTTCAAAGAGTACAACTACTGATAAGCGAAATGTGGAAATCATCTCATTCTGGTTAAGTCTCATTTTTAAATCTAGTTGGTGACATTATCTCCTACCTTTACGATAATCTAAGAAATACACCATTCAAGTTGAATTATTTTCAGTTATTACAGATAAATGAGCACACCACATATAATCGTTGTCATGCAATAGCATAAAAGAAAACGTACAGTGACATATGACCAGAGCATCCACGTGTCCACCTTTTCCCTTCAGTACACCAGACACGGACCAGACATATGATGATGACTCTAGAGAAGGGGGCTAATTTAGATCTCCTGCCTCAGAAAGAAATGCTGTGCTTTTCTAAGCAGTGAGACTGATTACATTGGGTTTTTTTTTTTTCCTTTCAAAACGAAGAACAGGTGAAATAATCACAGAACACAGCTGTAACAGACGTGAGCCGCAGTTTCCCCGGGCCCCTGTTGCGGTTTAGTCGCTCAGTCGTGTGCAACGCTTCTGCGCCCCCATTAACTGCAGCCCTCCTCTGTCCGCGGGATTCTCCAGGCAAGGATACTGGAGTGGCTTGCCATTTCCTTCTCTAATGGATGAATAAAACTTGTTACACTTTCTGAGTATAGCAACAATGTGTATATTTTTTAACTTAAAATAAAGGTCTAAGAGTTTCTTAAATTGGCCAAAGTTAAACTACATTTAGCTTATTCTGCTCCCAGTGGTGGTGATAGGACCTTGCAGACAAGTGGTTTCTGCACTCCCAATGTCAAGTCTCATGAACGAAATACTGGAATATGGTGGAGGAAAGCACAGTAAGCTTTCCTAAAGCAAGGCTCTAGGCACAGTACTGCCTGTCTCTTACTTCAAAGCCTCCTATCCAAAGTTTTCTCCTCTATAAAAATGAGAAGGCTATAGGTACCTAATTTGAGGCCCCATAACATTCCACGGAGTTGTCATTACTTTTATTTTGGCTGGTAGGAGGTGACTAGATAGCTCGCAAAGCCCATAAGCTTTAGGTAAAAATTCTGAATATACTTCACAACCTACAATTAATATGAAGTACAAGGTGTTATATACCATTTTAAGTTTACAGACTTTTCTCAATATATTTTAGTCTGAGACTGAAGAAATCCTAAAGTCAGGATAGAAAAATCTAACATAGAAAACTGACATTACATTGGGAATCCTTAATTTTTATTTTGTTCATTACTATAATAGGCATCTCTGATGTTTTCTTTCCTTTTCAACAAAGTAAAATACTTAAATAACATTGTCTTCCAAAAGTAAACCACAAATCAGCAGAAATAACAAAAAATAAATAAATAAAAGACAACTTAAAAGCTCTGTTCTTCATGTTAATGAATAAACACTAGAATATTGAAACCATATGAAAAATGCAGACTACTAGAACAGAGTATGCTCAATGGGAAACATGGCTTAAAAGGTGATTTTATTTATTTGTTCTTAATAAGGAAATGTGCTAACAGTAAGCAAATTATCACGTCTAAGAATTTTAACTTTCATCTCAATCGAGAGTTTAGAAATATCTTAATTTAGAGAGCCTTATGTTTACCACATGATGGCTGATCAATAATATGAATCAACTCTCTCTGCTATTTTACTCTTGATTGCAAATGGAATAACCACCACATAAATAAAACCACCCTTAGACAGTGGTTTTGGAGTAGAAAGACAAACATATTTAATCTATCCACACCCTGAAGATCAAACATTACCAGAGTTAAAAGCTCCAGCTCTAGAGTCAAATTAACCTAAACCTGAGCTTAAACCACTCAGTAACTGGACAACTTTGCACACTAAGTTAACCCTTCATCTCTAAAATAGGAATTACAACAGCGCTTACCGGACGTGCGGAAGATCACAGATAGTCACAACTTCTCTGCTACTCTTCCCCCGCGCCCATACCTGGGCTAGAATGTGGCAGAAATTACACCGTATAAATTCTGAGGTTGGGCCCTAAGAGATCTGTGGTTTCTGCCTTTGCATCTGGAAAACAATCTTGGAATTTCGTGGTCATGCTCTGAGGAAACCCCAGCAGTCAAGTGGAAAGGCCCTAGTGAGTCCCCAGCTGCAAGGGGGCAACAAATGCCAGGCATGTGAGGGCAACCCAGCGGCCCAGCCAACACCACATCAAACAGAAGCCACCACCATGAAATCTGAACAATAATACTTGCTGTTAAATTTTATGCGGTTTGATACACAGCAGTAAATAACTGGCTTAGCAAACTGACACACAGCAAGCATTTGATAAACGTTTATCATTATTACTAGTATTATTAGTGCTGCTGCTGCTGCTGCTAAGTCGACCAACTTACTATTATTAGCATTATTGTCATCAACAGCAGCAGTTGAAAGGCTGGGACACTCTTCTGTCAATGTAAGTACATAACTTATGGATAAAGAATCAAACACTATTTAAAACTTGTATTCCTACTTAAGAGTATTTTTACACTGAAAATTGTAAAATTTACATCTTCTGTATTTTCCTTGATACTAAAGAAAACTAACCAAAAGAGATTTTTTGGAAGAAATCTGGACTATACCAACTGGAAAGTTAGCCTACTCAGATCTGGATCAGAAGGAATTTAATTTCCAAAACATACTTATTTAGAGAACCACACAAAGAACTGAAGTGTGAAAATACCATTAGGCTAATCTGCTGATTTACACCAACAAAAGACTTAATTTCTACAAGTCTTAAATGCTCAAAGGTAGAGAATCTCCTTAATATTATATGTACATAAAATGTAACCAAAGATCTGAAATGTTTATAGACTGTATAGCAGTCTTTTAATTGAACTGCCATTTAAATCACATTTTCTAAATACGACTTAACATTAACTAGATCTGACATACGTCTAGATAAGAAATCATTCTGGATTTTGGCTTGTCTATTTCTATTCACTGGGGTCTCTGTTCAAAAGTCAAGTACTATTAATAATCCCTTACTTATCAACACTGAAGTACACACAATGATTTTTTTTTTTAAAGAATAATTCTTTTGGCTTCCAGCTGTACCTAAACCATCAATATGATAATCTTGAGAAGACATTTAAGGATACTGTTGAACATATCATTGTACCGTGTAAATAAATTTAATGAAATGGTTATTCAACAGAAGTACTACTGCACCCAAGAACTGTAAGATTTAATTATACACTAAACATGAGAATCAATTATTATGCCTCTCCTGGTGATACCTATCATTTAAAGCTTAATAGAAAGAAGAAACTACAAATATTTAAAGAAATCGCTTTTAATATTTCAATTAAATATTAGAATGATGAGAGAAGAATCATGCATTAAGAAAATTTTATGTCCTGTATAATTATTTCCTGCTTAATCAAGTATTTCTTAAGAAATCAAATACTTAGCAAGAGACAAAGAAAAGCTACAAATAATAGACAAAGATCAGGCTGTAAAAGCAGCACCAATTAGTCTTTTCATTTTCTGGCATATCACTTTTGATGAAACATGCTATTTCTTGAAAAGTGTACCTTAGTGGCACAAAAGTAAGTTCTCCCCATTTTTCAGAATGATAGTATATGCACAGAAACAGAGATCTACATATATGAAATTCCATGACTTTATAAAGTTTTTTCATTTAGTAAATACTGTATTTTTGAGGCTCTGCAATAACCTGCCACTATACTAGGCAATGGATTAATAAGATGAAAACCAGCTACACCCCTGCCCTCCAGGAGTTTATAACCAGGTATAAAAATGCACAGCGACAATACAGTGTAATTGTACAAACAAAGTATAATACATTCAAGGTTCTTCAGCCAGCACAGGAGCCCACAGGAGAATGTACTCAACTCTGGCCCTCTTTAAAAGGGTTCAGAGCCAGGGAAAAAGCAAGAGAACATGCCAGGTAAAAGCAGCAAGGTTGGTACACCAAAGTATGTGGGTGAAGACTGGCCTCGCAATACGACACACTGCAGGGTCAGAAGTGATCTGCATTCAGGAAAGAGAAGCCTGGGGCAGCAAGACCACGCTGCAGATACCACCCCATCCTGCAGCCCTGGGCATTAAACCAGCACAGCCCTTCACCCACCCAGGCTGTTCAAGGGTGCAGAGGCCTGCATAGCCAACCATGAGCCACCAGGAAGCGCTACAGCCAACAGGAGTTTGAAAAACACAACCACTTTCCATAAAATGCATCACAAGCTATAATTTAATAAGGAGGAACACATCTTCAGCCAAATTTAAAAGCTTTCATTGAAGATTTCTCTGTTGTTAAGATAGTAATTGAATTTTGAGGGCTTCTTCCCTGTGTCCTTGATGAAATATAATCTAGATTTAACAAATTGAGAAAACAAGCAAAAGAAAAGAGCTCTCAGAGAGGAATGCTCCAGAAGCCTATGTCTTAGAAGCAGATGTTCTACTCTGGCAGACTCCCCGCCCCTGGTGTATTACCATTTGAAACCCACCCACTCATAGATCACATTGCAAATGCACATCTGAGAAGATGTGTTCCCATTTCAAAATACCACAGTAATTCCCTCACTTCCAGAAATGATTCACCAGATAAATATTTAGTGTTGTCAAGAAATATAACCTTTTTTTCCCATGCTCTAAAGTAGAACTCTAGACTGACCAACTCCAACCCCCAAACACAACATTATCAATAACCCCTGCAGTACCATCCCACCAGGTGACATTCTCAAGGGTTAATTCTCTGGGTATGGAGACTGTGCCAAAGCTCTTAAGAGAAGACCCATTTGATTCCACTGAAAAGTACTGCAATCTGTTCTTTAAAAATGGACTGTAGTTAAGCGATACATTTTTCCATTAAGTTTTATGGAGCCTGCTGAATTTCCTGTGTCAAAATCTGTCACAAAAATCTGCTTCTCAGACATCTGTTTGGTACAACATACATGTGAATAAGGTACTGCATGGAGATGTCTGAAAATAGCAATGCACAGCCTAGCATTTGGTTTCTGATCAGAAAGAATTTCCAGTATGTTGATTGGTAGATTTAATTTAGATCCTGTTAATATCTATTATTAATCACTGGTCTTCCAATAGTACCCACCGGGAAAAATAAAGTATTATCTTCTTCATGTCAGTAGCCTTCTGATAGTCAAGTGGAAAGAAAGGTTAAATATGAAGAAGAATAAATGGTAAGAGTGAGCCTTAGATTTCAGTTTGGCAGTCAAGCCCCAGGGCAATCTAACAATTACGCTCAAAATCCAGCCCTTGGATCACAGTTTAAACATCACTCCACCACCTGTCAAAAACGCAGACCTTCAGGCCCCACCCCGAACTGCTGACTCAAAATCTGCGCTCTGATGAGCCCCTCGGGTGATTCATGTGCATGTTTAATATCTGAAAAGCACTTTGTTAGCAGGAACCTCAAGGGATATTTTTCACTGTGGTGCCTGTATGTAGACTGTTTAAGTACTTTTCTGCAGTGGCATTACAGGCCCCAAACTGTGCTGCGCTGTCCTGTCCTCCTCTTTGTGACCCTAAGGACGACTGCCCCCCAGGGGCCTCGGTCCGCGGCATTCTCTAGGCAAGAATACTGCAGTGGGGTGCCTGTCCTCCTCCAAGGGGTCGTCCCCACCCAAGGATCGAGCCGGCATCTCCTGTGTCTCCTGCATTGCAGGCAGATTCTTCGCCTGCTGAGCCATCAGGGAAGGCCTCCATGTAAAACTGCATCTAAGCAGCCCTGAGGCCCAAGTACTTTTTCAAAGATCCGTGTAAGACATTCCACTCTGCTGTCCCTCACCACGCACTATCCGTCAGTCCTTCCCATGATGCTGCCAACATGCTGGGAG